CCCCCCCATCCTCTGCCCGTCCATTCGTCCAGGCAGGGGAGGATGGCCTCCGTGGTCCGAGTCCCTCCCGCCCCTCTCCCAGGCCTAAGGGGGCCGACCCTAACGTCCTCCAACCGCGCCAACCCGTTCCTCGCCACTGCCTCAGCCACCTCCTCTGCGGTAACAGACTGGTCTATGTCAACCAGTCTCATTTCCGCCCTCCGCATCGGCCTGACGACATTTACTTCTTCTTTGTACTCGTTCTCGGCGATGACACCCTTCAATTTGTCCACCAGAGCCTCCGCTTTGGCCCCGGTTTCCTCCCCTCCTGGGATCTCAATGAGGAGACCCCCCGCTTGCGCCTTTCTTATCCGCGTGTTCGTGATGCTGAGGTCATCCAGTGAGATCTTGCTTCTGGCAAGTTTCATGACCTCAGCATACGTTACACCACCCGGCCTGTCCTTGTTCTCCGCGCACTTTATCAAAACCGCTGCCGTTCTTGGCGCCCCAAATCTATTATCCTTAGCCGGGGGAGGCCACCGTACCGCGTCTCCCGAGTCCTTCACGCGAAGGCGAATCACTGCACTAGCGGAAGCGGGGCCTCTCGGTGCCCCGCCGCGCGCACTCGCTCCCGTAGCGCTTTTAGCCGTGCCGGCCCGGCGCACTCCGGCAGTACTGCCCCCTACGGAAGGCAGGGGTACAACAACTCGTCTTGGGTCTCTCCCATCCCGCACCTCAGCACTCGCGTCAGGGGCCGCTCTTGCCTTCTCCTTCTTTCTCATTCTTTTACGCGCCCGTTTCGTCCTCGCCTCCGTCCAGGCCTCACCACTGGCTGGATAATCCATCGGAGGCGGCGAACTCTCCAGGTCCCGGTCGTCTCCGAGCCCCGCTCCGTCGTTGTTGCCCATCGGTCCGTTCCTTGTCCTTTCCGCGTACGCGTCCCCGCGTTTATACAGGGTAGATCGCCCTGTATCTCCCATCACTATATCCCCCATCTCGTTCACCCTCGTTGGTCGGGGGGGTCTATCCTCCAGCCTTCTACGGACCCCGCCAATCGGCGGTCTATATGCCGGAGGGAGGCTCTCCGCTTCATCTATATCGTTGTCTCTGCCCCGCACAGTACGTTCTTCCCTAGTTCGTTCCCTGGTTCTTATCGGTGAGCCTGCGTCACGGGCCTCCTCGTCCGAGGGGGGGGGGGGGGGGGACTCGTTCCCTATCCTATCCTTTAAATCTTGGACAGTACATTGTAGTGCGTTAATTTGTTCCCTCATCATTTCTCTCTCTCGCCGGAGGGTATCCACTTCCCGACGAAGCTTGATGACCTCTCTTTCCAGGGCCAGGTTATTGGCCCTAACTTCATTGGTTGGTCCCGTACCTTTCGAGATCTCTGAGACCAATCTTTGGACCGCTATTTTGGCCACATTTACGCCTAGCTTGATCTGACGGCGCAAGTCTCCCTTCATGGTTTGTGTTCGCCTTTCCGCTTCGCCCGCGGTCTCCAGTACCCTCAGGGTCTCCGCCATCACTGACTTCGGTGACATCTGAGGGAACAGGGCCGTCACCTCTTCAATCGCGTCCTTTTGACGGGATGATAGCCTGTCATCTAGCTGGCACCCGACCAGGCCTTTCCGCTTCTTGAGCCCGTGACCGGCCCTCTTAGAGATCTTAAAAAAGTCCACCCTGTCCAACTCGTCATCCTCATAGTCCATACGCTTTGAGGAGAGTTTGGACAGGGCATGGGCTCCCGGGCAATTAGAGCCCTTCGGCTTCCGCCCTCTTTTCTTTCCCTTCTTAGGGATTTGGTCGAACGATGACGATAAATCCTCCGACTCCTCGATGGAAGTAGAGGGGGTCGAGTCTCCTCCAATGGATTCTTCCCGCTCCGTCTCCACAGCTATCACACTGGACGCGTTGGATGATACCTCGCCAACTTCAGCTCCACCGCCGGAGCCGCTGAAGGCTGGTGTGCCAGCTGAGATGCTCTCCGCAATCGGAGAGTTAACGATCTCGCCTTCCACCACCCTGATCCTTGTCTCCCTCGGGTATCTAGTAGCTCCCGATCTGCCTCTCCTCGGGAGCGGTGCCTCACCTCTTGCCGAGGTCGGCATCTTCCCTACCAGCTCCACAGCCGAAGTGTTCGCGGTGATGGCCACCATGTTC